GTGTATGATGTGTGTGTGTATGGTGTGTGTGTGTGTGTGTGTGTGTGTGTGTGTGTGTGTGTGGTGTGTATGTGTGTGTGAGTAGACTCAACTGCTGTCATTGTATGTCCCTTGCCTTCCCTAAACTCAGATATCATGGGACTTGTGTTCTGAGTCCCCATGCATCACGCATGCCCAGATGATATGGTGTCAAAGCATGGTCATCAGAGATCCAGAGTCCATGGGGGAGGACAGTGGGACCATGGAGTGTCAGAGCCCAAGCTGAACAATACAGTGACAGCCAGGAGTCTCAGTCACTCTTCAGATCAAAGCTCCTGAAGGCCATCAGAAACATGCTGGAAGGCTGCAAATGCGAGGCACGGGACTGTACCCCGGGCAGGGGACTAGAGACCTCCTGTTCCTGCCTCTTGTGTACTTTTGAGGTCGTCGTCACTGGACACCTGGGCCCTCCAGAGAAGCAGCCATGAGTGATATTTGACAGGAGGGGCTTACTGGGGCCCGATGCACATGCGCAGACACAGGCCCGAGTCAAGCCCCAAGTTACACCCGTATGGTTGCTGGGTGGGTGTCCTTTTAGGAGCACCTACCTATAGCTAGTCTCATGCATGCTTGCCTGCTTTTGTAGAGAGGCCATTGCCCTTAGTTTCCAGAAGTGAGGAGTAACCCTGGCAAAGGAGGGTCTCTGGTGACTCTCACGAAGCCTGTCTATAGGTGAGTGAGTGACTAGGTGTTAGGGCCCATGAGGTGATGTCATGGGCCTCGCTTTCACCCTGGAGTGGTCAAGTCCCGGAAGGGCTGCCTGGGCAAGCTTTGTGAAGGTGCCAGGGACCCCAAGGATTGGGCAGGACAGCGCGCGTGCTCCTGCAGAGACTAGGGACCTTCCACATGGCCCTTTCAGTCCCCTTCGGGTACTCCCCCGATTCTGCACAGATCTATACTTCTACAAGTTGGAGCATTTCCAACGGGGAGCACAGATGTTCCGGGCACTTTGAGCTCCTCCTAGGTGAGTTGGGAGCTTGTGCATGCACAGCCGAAAGCTCCAAGCCAAGTATGCGTGATTACTTACGGGGTGGGCCTCAAGGCCGCCAGGCTCACAAAGGCAGATGTGGTTTTCCACAGAGGTATGCAACACTTTGTGGAAGTGAGGCATCCCTGCCACGCCCCTCCGGGGGACCAAGAGGGGTCTCGGGATTGTGGTGAGCTGTGTCCCTGTAGGTGAGTGCCTAGGTATTAGGACCCAGGATAATACCTGAGGTGAAGTCGTCTGTCCCTCCGTCCGTCCGTCCCTCCCTCCCTCAGTCCCTCTGTCCATCCTCCCATCTGTCCCTTCCTCCTTCCGTCCGTCCCTCCCTCAGTCTGTCTGTCCATCCTCCCATCTGTCCCTCTGTCTGTCCCTCCCTCAGTCCCTCTGTCCATCCACCCATCTGTCCCTCCGTCCCTCCATCCCTCCCTCCCCTCCTTCTGTCCGTCCCTCCCTCAGTCTGTGTGTCCATCCTCACATCTGTCCCTCCATCCGTCCGTTCGTTCCCTCCCTCAGTCTGTCTGTCCATCCTCCCATCTGTCCCTCGGTCCCTCCGTCCTGCCTTCCGTCCATCCTTCTGTCCGTCCGTCCTTCCGTCCGCAGCCCGAGTTCCACAGTGGAGTGGGGAGGCCCGGAAGGGCCGCGTGGGAAAGCTTGCATAGGAAGCAGGGACGGAGAAGAGTGGGCAGGACAGCACGGCAAGTGTGCTCGCCGCAGGACTAGGCACCTGCCCCGTGGCGCTCTCTGAAGTCTTTGGGCACAGGAGACGTTTATCCGGGCCCACACGTGCACACTAGGACCAAGTAAAACAGGAGAGTGGGTGTTTCAGGTCCTCCCAGGCTTTGAAGTGCAACTTTCCCTCCGGGCGTGCGTGATCATCGCGGCTGGGCTTAGGCAAGGAAAGGGACCGCACAGGGGCTCGCGTGCGCCCCCGCTTCTCCGCGGCCCCTCCTATTTCCCGGAAGGAGGACCAACTAATGGGACCCCTGGAGGGGCAGCAGGCTTTGGGGCTGCGGTGCTGAGGCCTGTCCCTGTCCCTGTCCCTGTCCCTGTCCCTGTGGGAGAGTGACCAGGTATTAGGACCCAGGATATTCCCCGAGGTGATGGAGGTGATGGCTGGCTCCTAAGTTGCACACCGAGTGGCCCAGGAGCAAAGCCCACAAAGGCCTCGAGAGGGACTCGGGGACCGCGGCTGGCCCGCGCAGCATGTGGACTTGGGAAAGACTAGGGACCCCCACAGGGCCCCTTCCGTGGTCTTCGGGTGCTTCAGACGTCCCTCCCGGCCCCATGTGCACGGGTGGGCCTGTTTGAGAGAGGGGTATGGGGGCTCAGGCCCTCGCCAGCCTTAGTACAGTGGCTGCCCGGATGCGCATGCGCAACCCCCCCTGTCCAAAGCACGCTTGCGCCAGTGCCTCAGCAAGGAGGGGGCGTGGCCAGGGTCACACATGCGCAAAGTGGACTACTTCCGGAAGTGGGGTCTCAGCAGCCGTGACTGGTGACTGCGCCGAGGCTGAGAGGGGTTTGCGGTGCCGGTGAGGATGCGGTGAGGCGTCCCTCCCCCAGCTGAGCAACGAGGTATGTGCAGCCTCGGAAGTCCATGAGGGGACTTCCGGAGCCTGCGTTAGCTACCCACCGAATTGGGCAAGGCCGGGGGGGGGGGGGGAGAGGGGTGCAGTCTGGGAAGGTGTGTCCGGGCCACGGGGGCTGAGAGGGAGGCGAGCGCAGGACCGCCCGTGTGCTGGAGAGTGAAATCCAGTGTCTTCCAGGCCCTGTTAGGGCAGCTCCCAGCTGGGACTTACACAACAGCACGTCCACGTCATTGGCTGGGTCACATCCCTCAGCACCCTGGAGCAGGTGCATGCTGCTCCACCTAGTCCGAATGGTTCCATTCAGGGAGGGGGGCTACTCAGGTGGGACGACCGTCTGATGGGAAGAAGGCTCTCAGGGGACTGTGGTTGAAGCATGATCACCTGCCTAATCTGAGTGGGCCCCTGTTCTGAGGTTCTGGAGGTCACAAAATCAGAGTCGGCCTGGATCCACAGTGCTCGGTGGTGGCGCAGAATGGGATCACGGGGTGTCTGTCGGGGGCCTGCCTGGTTGAGGTTGAGGCGATTTCTGTAAACCTCCCTTCTGCAAGGGACTGGACAGAATCCCAGGCTCTGCGGGTATGAGAAGATAGATGTATGTGTTACAGAGTGAGGGATGGGGGAGAGCGTGGAAGGTGCCCATTGCCCCTGCATACTCTTTGGTCAACATTGGATGCATGTCCCCGCTTGTGATGTCTGCTGGGCGATTTCATGCATGGCAACTGCTGGGCCCGAGCCAGGCACGTGTGGCCCTTGGACCCATCTGTTGCAGGAGCATCTCCTAGCCCCACGTCATGGGTTTCCATGATACTCTCTCTCAGGCCACATCTCAGGCCACTCACCTGTGCCACATCGGCCTTGGCCGAGGGTGGATGCTTGGCTCGCCACAGGCAAGTGTGCCTGCTTTGCCAGCCTCCCGTAGTAAACTTACTGAGGGGGCCCTATACAGGAACAGAATGATGTGTATTCACCTGCTAGGTCCTCACATCTAGCCTGTATCACCTACCACCCGGCCAGACCAGGCCAGGAAGACACACACACACACACACACACACACACACACACACACACATACACACCAAACCCCCACCCCCCTACACACACATACACACACACACACACCACCACCACCACCACCACCACCACCTCATGTATGAGCAGCTCTACTCATGAGCCCACATGCTCAGGTCTTTCTCATGCATAAGTGCTGTCAGAAAGCATGCTTGTGGAGGCAGGCAGTGGCTGGGTGCTCCCTTCCTCTAAAGAGACTGAGGTTTCTGAGGGGAGGATCTCGGAATAGGATCGTCTTCGTGGCCGACTGGTTATTAGTGGGTGCTTCTATGAAGTCCGGTGTTAGGGAAACTGTTCCAGAACGTGTTCCCAGTACAAGAAGGAAAATCCACTTGAACAAGGCCTAGTTACTTACTGAGCAGGTGCTGGTTCAAAGTACTAGAGTCTGACCCTGGGGCAGTTTATGTTAGACACATTTAAGGACAGTACACTTTTGGAACAAAGTTTGCTGGTAACAGTTATCTCAGTCCCCTGCGCAGAATGAAGGTTGAGGCCTAAGTACATAGACACTCTCTGCAATGTACATGTGACCTGTCCCATGAAGGTGGGTTCTGTATCTTAGGGACCTCGGATCTGCTGTGGCTTCAGCCATGCGGATAGCAGAGACAGTACACCAGGCTGCCACGTACATGGGGCATCTCCACAAAGGATGGGCTCTGTTGACTGAGAAACCAAACTAACGAGGAAGGCCTAGGGTGGGAGAGTCTGGGAGAAACATGATAATCTGGGAGATCCGAGTGTGGCCTGGCCCTGTAGGCAGCATAGATCACCAGGCCGTTAACGACATCCACTCCCCGCCTTCTGGTTGGAAAAGAGATGCACGCCTGTGCTCAGTTGAAGAGACAAGCCTGTGTGCTTAACATTCCTGGGGCCCACCGTGCTTGTCTGTGAGCACAAAGACCTCGGGCGCTCATACAGACTGTGTGTCACCTTGTGTGAGTATATTGGGGAATCTCTGGATTTGCCTCCTGGGTGTATTCCTTGGGCCTTTCCTAGATGTCTGGGTCCCTGAGTTGTTTCTGAGAGCGGGTCGGGATTTCACTTGAGTGTGCAGCAGGTGTGCCCAGACATGGTTCCAGGGCCCACACTGGCTATCAGTGGGTTGGTGTTTGTGAGAAGATGCAGGTATTGTGGCACTTGGCCTGGGGCTAGACCAAGCTTGCCCTATCCTGGAGACAAGCAATCAGCAGAAAGGGCTGAGATTGGGGGCTACGGGGTTGCAGAGAGCTCTGCGTTCTGCGTTCCGGGGTGGGGAGGGGGTTGGGTGTAAAAAAATAGAAAAGAAAAGAAAAAAGGGACAGAATGTGATTGGATGTGGCATTATGTACCGGTGCCATCCTCCTCCTGCCACCTCTCTGCCCCAGCAGGGTAAGTGCCAGGGCACACGACCACAGGCTGTGGAGGCCTGGTCCCTGTTTCCATTGCTGTGGTGAAATTCTTCCCTGTGTCTTTACTGTACACACCAACATTCTAGGAGTCCGGCGGCCCAGCACAGTGAGGCCGCAAGCCATGTCAACCGAGGAACAGAAAGACATGAAGAGACGTGCCAAGCGCCCAAGGGTTGATCCGAATCTCTGTTCAGATGACTCCCAGAACCCAGATGCAATCGCACCTGGTAACAACGCACCTGATACGACGGGGCATATGTGGCTGGGCCTAACTGAGGGGACATTCTACTACTCTTTGGCAGGCGGTGCACATGGGTGGCGTGGTACTAACCAGTTCATTCCATGGGGTTACATGCATGGGTGGTGGGGGGCGGGTTTCTGGTGCTCAGATCTGATTCTCAAGCATGTTCTGGGTTTCTGTCCACACCTGATGTTCTCAGCCCGTGGCGGGAGTGCACGGCTCACAAGGGCCATTGGTCCTGGCCAGCAGGCCTCTGGAGAAGCCCATGGGTCACAGTGACTTTCCTTGGAAGGCTTTTACAAATATGTGTCCCCGCCGTCCCCAGACTCTGGCTGAGCTGAATTTCACCTGTGTTGTTTGGGTGTGGGTGTGGGTGTGGGCACCGGTTCCCAGAAGATGACTTTAAAACTGCTGTTGTTGGCCATGGGCTCACCCAAGCCCAGAGTGAAGCTGTTTCCCATGTGGGTTGATGAGAGCAGCACACTTCATCCACAAAGGATTCCCTTTCTTCTCAATGCAGCAAACAATCCAGCAGTTGATACCAGTGTGATGGCCAGCTGTTCCTCAGGATCAGATATGCAAGAGGCCAGGTGATGTCTTACAGGAACTTTGGCCTGCCCCAGGAGGTAGTTTCAGTGTGGTTTTATGCAGTCATACAGAGAAAAGGATGTCCTTTGCTGGAAAATGGATCCAAATGGAGAGTTTGGTGTTGAGTGAAATGAGCCAGCACCAAAGAGAATACCGTCACCTGTTTTCTCTCATTTGAGGGTCCTAGATTATAAAGTAGGTCCATGAAATGGCAAAACCCAAACTGAGAAGGGAGCCTGGGGAGAGGTGGGCAATGCCCAATAGAGGGGAAAGATTGGGGAGTGGAGTGGAGGCTGACTGTGGAGGTTGAGTGTGGTCAGAAGGCATGAAAGTAGAGGCCTCACTGCCGGGGTGATAGAGGAGGACTAGCAGGAGGGCACCGCGGAAGGATGAGTGTGAATGTGGCTGGAGTGCACGACAGATGGGTGAGAACCCTTTACAGAACGCATCTCTGCCGAACAGGGAACGGATTCCGCTAAACGTTTACTATAAAAACCCCTGTACTGCCAAAACATGACAGGAAGTCACTGCTTGAGGGTGGGAGACACTTCCACGGAGCTGCCTGCAGCTGGCAAGGGAATGCCTGGGATTCAGTTGTCATGACTCATTCATCCAACACCCAGCCTGAGGTTGGTTTCCTGGAGAGAAGGCTGACTGTGAGTCACCCATGCTCCAGCCAGTAACGCTTGCCCATGTGCCCGTATGCATCTGCAGTGAACTCACTGATTCACTGTGAAAATGGGCAGGAATGGGAAGGAATATTTACAGAATGGCACCTCCCATCAACCCCAAGAGAGGAAAACCAGACTCTGTCCCGCATAAGCACTAGTCCCTGCAAAACCGCATGCCTCACCTTCCTTCAGTGCACACTTTGGATGCTTGTCCTCACTTAAGGATTCTTGTGTGCATTTTCCACAGGCAACCTGTTCAGAAGAGGATACAGGATTTCAAAGGTGTGTTTGAGCAGATGTTGCTGGTACCAGAGCTTTTTTTCGGACCCCTCTGCAGTGCAGAGGAATTTCTTTCATTCACTCATTCACTCACTCGCTCACTCATTCATTCATTCATTTTTGGTGGAACAGTAAATTGCCATTTGCCCTTTACAGGTGGGCGGGTGTAGGTGGTGGTGGTGGTACCTTTAGCTTAACTTTTAGCTAGCTGATCTGAGCCGGGGACTGGAATAGCTGTCACTGAGGTGGTCAGGAGAGTTTCCCGATTCCTGCACTGGTTGCTGAAGAGTGTTACTAGAGATGATGGGCAAGCAGATAAACCTCTGCTTTTTGTCCTACCACACTGAGTGGTAAGTTACAATTCAACAGCTGTTTTTCACATCCTGAATTGAGTCATTTTTCTGGCTTTGCGACCTTGCTCTCCTCCAGGAGCCCCTACCAAAGAGGGCATGGGTAAGAGCCTGAAGGCTGTATGTAGATTGATGAGCCTGTCAGGGAATACCGAAGGCAGCCACAATGTGGACCGGGAAGAAAAGTGTGTGTGACGCATAGCATGCCACACGGGCTTGTTTTCTGTCATTCACGGTAACCAAGTCAGTGTGCCACAAGCCACCTCCCAAGCTGAGGCAGCTTTTGCTCACTTGTGTGGATGGCCCTAAAAGGACATTACTAGAGAGATATCGTCAATCCTTAGCCAGTGTATAGAGTCAATTCATGTAAGCCAGGGTGTCTGACATCTGAGAGCATTGCTCTTTCTGGTACAGAGGAACTACCGCTTGATCTCTAAGGTGTCCAGAAAATGTTTTGTCAGTGACGGTCACTCGTCAGAGCACGATGCCCCCACCCCTTCACCCCCCAGTGTGCCTGTATTCCTAACACTTAGGAGATTCGGGACCTGGAGGTCGCCCTCACTCGCCTCTCAGGTTTGAGAGCAGCCTGGGCTGCTCGGGACCCAGTCTCAGATTTTAAAATAAATAAAAGTTCAGCGAAGAGCAACATGGACACAGGATCTATAGGTACCCCTCCTACTGTGTAGGTGATGTGTCAGGGTTGAAGGAGCGCGGCTTCCTCTGGATATTCGATTTAATGTGATACCATTTCCTTTCTCAAATAGGTGGCATTACCCAGTCCCTTCTGGCAAAGAGGAAGCAGTTTGCAAAGGATATAAATGACTCTTTCAGAAGCCTGAACGAAAACCTCCAGAGCATTTTCAAAACCCAGCAGAAGTCAAGGTACAGTTGTGCATGACCATCTGTAAAATGAGACCTGTACAGCTTTTACTCTTCCTTCCAAAGTCACTCCTGCCTGCCTGCCCGCCATGGTGATCCTGCACAGAGTGGAATTGCTAATGCGACCTACCTAGCACTGCATTTTCTCTGTGAGGTAGTCCTGTTGTTCATTGCTGTGGCGGAACACCCCCCCTGCCTTTTATAGAGGTGAGATGTGTTAGCTGCAAGATGGGCAAGAGAATAGTTTCTCCTCTGTCAGATGACAAGACGGATAGCTTCCAATAAGGAAAGACAGTCTTCTCTGGTCTACCAGACCGTACCGGTTAAGAGGTAATAGGGGTGCCATCGGGGCTCCTCTTGGTCAGTCATCGTGGCCATGTGGGGAAAGGGTTCTGTGCGCTCTTCGTGTGTGTAAGTGCCATAGGACGAAGGGTATGTTGCCTTCACAACACGGACTTTGGCTCTTCGTGTGTGTGAGTGCCATAGGACGAAGGGTATGTTGCCTTCACAACACGGACTTTGGCTCTCAGAAGCTGTAGGTTAGTTACTCCATAAGGGGGAGCAAAGATGAGTCAGATTCTAAGCCAGGAATGCAGTCTTGGGAAAGGTGTGCCTCAGAGCATCCCAGGGAGAGGGAAGACGTGCAAAATGACATCCCCCTTAGGTAACCAATTAAAACAGCATTCTTCTGGGATTAGAGTGGGTCACATTTCTGCCTCTCAAGAGACAATTTAATTCATGCCCCCTTTTGTCGTTGGCTCCTGGCTCTTGTGTGACAACAATGAGTGTGTGGTGTCATTGCCTTGGCCTCACATAGTGTGAGGGTGCTCAGGAATCATTACTGTGTTTTACAGGCAGGAGCTTCACTCCATACACTCCCAGATGTTTGAGTCCCTGTATCAGAAGTGGCTGGGCGATGTGGTGAGAGCAAGGGAGCAAGAAGAACGCCTCAATGTGAGTGTTGCTCTTAGCTTGGAATAGGTCCTCTGAGTCCCTTTCCACAGTGGCAGGGCTTCAGTGCAGCAGGTCTCAAGGGAAAGGGACGGGACACAAGGAGGGTGATGGATATGGCCTGGAGAGACTAGCTGTCCTCTCTGGCTTGCTCCCTTTGTCTGTGCTGGGGTGGTGTGGTCATGGGTGAGGGGCCAGCATGGTGGGCGGGTGAGCAGGGACTGCGTGGACAGTGCAGGAGAAGGTATGGGCTTGTGTGCTCAGAGGTTGCCCTTGGTGATCCACACACAGTGCAGATGCCAAACAGTGCAGGAGGGGTGGGGGTGGGGAGTCCCAGTCTGCCTTCTGACACAGTGATCAGGGAGGCAAAGTGAGAGCAGCCAGTGTGGCTGGGACAGAGCAGAGCAGGGAGAGGCTTAGCGTTCATGGACACCGAGTAGTGCTGTCTTTGAGGGGTCTTTCATCCCGATGGAGGACAGAGCTGTACTCCCAAAGGCCCTGCTTTCCAAAGGCCCTGCCTTCCAAAGGCCCTGCCTTCCAAAGGCCCTGCCTTCCAAAGGCCCTGCCTTCCAAAGGCCCTGCCTTCCAAAGGTGGGGAAGCAGCACCTGGACTCAGATGCTGTCATAGTCCTGACACTGGCACCTTGGGAAAGCTCAGGAGAACAATTAACCCCCCTGCCTCAGTTTCCTAGGAGTCAAAGCAGACCTGTGAAGAATCCGTCCGTACCTTTCTAGATCTTGTGTATTGAGTGCTTGCGTTTTTGACATGTTGCTTCAGAATGTGTGGCCTCGTGAGATGATGTATGTTTGCCATTCATCTTCCCTGCCCTTCTCATTTGGTTGATAATGTAGTTGACAGAATGTCACAATCTGGGGCATGGCTGACTGATGAGGAAAGTTTGGTCAGAACCTCTCTCTCTCCCTCGTTTTCTCTAGTTCTCCCCCTCTCTGACTCTCTGTCTCTCTCTGTCTCTGTCTCTGTCTCTCTCTCTCTCTCTCTGTCTGTCTGTCCTGCTTTCTTGGAAAGGAGGGTTTCCTTGGAAGCTAATGTGTTCTCATCATATTAAAACATATTTTATGAAAACAAAGAAATGCTGGGAACGTAAAATTCTGGTGAGGTAGGAAGCCACAGATTAGGTGGGTCTTATTGATAATTTTAAAATGGTTATTTCATAGGATTTCTGCACAAGCGTGGCAAGACTGACACTGGTCAGATCGTGTTATGTTGCTTTTGGCATTGGAGGCCATGGCTTCAGACTTGTTCATCATGAATGTCAGAGAACAAAGCATGATGGGAAGGAATTCCTGTAAGCGGCAGGGTTCAGTGTTCAGTTTTACTGACATTTTTTCATTGGTTTCCTCTGTTTCAGCTTATAGCTCAGCAGCAGGTGAAGGTGTTGCAGAAAGCTGTAGAGGATCATGAAACCAAGATGGAGAACGCTAAAGATATGTGTGACACATTTTTGAAGGTCTGGTAGATTGCACTTGTTGACAGAACACACCCTTATGTCTTACCATGTGTCTGTTACGAGCAGAAGACAGATTGGCCCTTTCTCAATTTGAGGGAGAAAAAGAATTAGTTTTGAAAACTGTGATCACATTCTCTCTGGGATATTTTTCCCCACACACAGCAGAAATGCTGAGGTTTGCTTAGCCTGGGAAACTGATGACGGTGTTGTGGACCGTGTTCTAGCACGGCAGCTGGTGACTGGAAGTTTGCTTATAAAGGAGCACAGTGCATCACAGTGATGAGTTATTGACCTCTAGTGACATTTCGATGGAAATTAGCAAGTCTGGGGATCCTTCTGGTGTTCTTTGACTTGTTTTGATTGGACGGCTCAGGTCAGTGATGAGCAAAGGGCAAGGACAGTTTTTACTTTCTTCCATGTTGAGTGTTTTGCAGTCTTCAGACATTAGAATTACACTTGAGTATTGGCGGTCATGTATTTCACAGCTCTACAGCTGATGTGGGGACTGGAAGAGTTGGTAGAGGATTAACCCGCTTTGAATTGAGAGCATAGAACCGGCAACTGTACCTCGCTGAAGCTCCAGGCCCTAAGTGACGCCTGTACACCCAGGAGTTGAAGCAGCCCTTCAGCGGGAATTCCTTTTGATGCTCTCATTAAAATACCCTATGAAATACCTCTCCTCAGATCTGATTCAGATGCCTTATCTAAAGTGCTCAGTGTATCATAGTAAATTAAGTGTTTTCCGGGTGCCAGTGAGACGCTAGGTCTGTTTTTGCTGAGCAAGCATGCGTTCACCAGTTAATACCCAGGTGGCTACCCCTAGCAGCCACGTGCACTCCGGGCATGGCAAACTCTGCCTATAACCCCAGCGAGGTGAGGCTAGAGACACAAGGATCCCTGGGGCTTGTGTGACCACCAGTACAGGCAAATTGGAAAACCCTGTGTTTAGTGAGATACCCTGCCTCAAGGAGTAATGTGGTGAGCTGTTCAGGATGGTGCTGCCACACACTAGCACACGTGTGTGCATGCAAACACGTCCACGTGAAGGGAATCGCTTTGAGTTTTCTGTGACATCTGGTCTCCACACTGAAACAGACATACGTGCACACCCACCTGCACACACCAAGCACACAGAAAAGTAAAACTGAATTTTCAAGGCCTTCAGATCCACACACACATATGGAGCCCCAATGCAGCTGGATACTTCTTGGGAACTGGCTGGAAGAACCTGTCAGATAGGCTTGCATCTAACTGTGAGTGCTCAATGTGAGCAGCACCACATAGGAAGCCTTGTGACTGGATATCTCTGGCTTCCCAGATGATCCATGCCCTTCTGCCCAGACCCTTCTGCCCCTGCGTCTCTGTACACTGCTCTCTGCTCCTCCACCCAGGCTTCCCCTCCTGTCCCCGTCCTCCGCTCTGCCTCTGAGGGACTATTTTCGTCAAACATGGCGTTTTCTTTTCAAGATTTCCCAGTGGCCTTCCTTCTTAATGCTCTGTTTCCCGTGTCCTCTGCCCACCCACCCAACCACCCACCCATCACCTCCTCACACCCATCACCTACACACACACACACACACACACACACACACACACACACACACACTCACTGTCTTGAAAGCTTGCGCTGGCTGCTTGCTTCCTTCTGTCCCTCTTCCCTCCTCCCAGTGAAGCAGCTTCCCTTGAAGTGAGTCCCGTTCCTTGCCCTTGCTTTGCGTCTGCTCTTTGCCCACAAAGCTTCCTGTGCCTTGTCTTCCCCTAAGGACACCCTATGTGTTTACTGCTTGACGTCACCATTTGCGTCCTTTTCAGCGTCAAGCCCAGCAAGCTCCATTCACATACTTATTTTCAGCTGGTGTGCAGGGTGTCTGTTCCTAAGATGTCTGGGCCCTGGTAATAGGGCAGAGACTGGACAGGTGTTAAGAGCCGGTTTTCCCTGCCGGCCTGGTCCCACCGCCTCGCCAGCCCCAAATAACACACAGAGACGCTGTATTAGATATAATTCTGTTGGCCAGTTACTAGCGTTTCTTATCGGCTAGCACCGTCTTAAATACTATCCCATTTCTATTCACCTAAGCATTTCCACGTGGTCTCCTCTTACCGGACAGAGGCCCCGGCGTTCTGCTCTCTCCATCCTCCATCTTGAATCTCTTCCCTACTCCTTCCTCTCCCCTCCTGGTCTCCTAGACCCACCTATCTTGCTTTCCTATTGGCCAACAGGGCTTTATTCGTTAACCAAGACGAGCAACATATTTACAGAATGACGTCTCCCATCATCTCCTCTTTTCTGTCTGAAGTAAAAATAAGGGCTTTTAACCTTAACATAGCAAGATATATTATATAGCAAAACAGTTATCAAACAAGAACCATAGTTAGCAATATTAAGTTTGTTAACATCTAGCAAGATTTAAAGAAAATATTTCACCATCTACCCTATCTTTGTGAGTCTAAAGTCTTACATGTAACTTATCTTTAATCCTAACTATAACCTTAACTATCTGTCTTCAGTTCCATCAAAGACCACAGAAGGATAACATATAAACTCTAGAAATGACAGAGACAACTCACTGCCCGGTCAGGCACCCGAAGTGCTTCTGTAATGTTCCATCTTCAGCCTATAGACCATAGTGTGTCTAGCACACTCCTCAGCCAAGCAGGAAACTAAACTGTCTTTATCTTCTTCTGGCCACCAGCCTTTTATCTGGTAAACAACAACATTGCTAAAATGAAGGTCACGGCCCTATTAGCCGTGGTCTATCCAAGATGGCAGGGTACGTTTGCCGCCAGAACTGAGAGCTGTGCTCAGTGCCTTGGTCTACGCTGCCATCCACCAGCATGCTGCCGGCTTGGCGATGTGGCCACTGCCATTGCCGGCTCTCGTACACACCGTTAAGTTCTTTGGAGAGGTCTTTAAAAGACTTGTGGGGTTTGTTTGTTTATTTGTTTTGTTTTGTTTTTTTGTTTTTCCTTTATGCTGAGTCAGAAATCCTCCCTTAAAGGAGCAGTGAATACTTGTGCTTGTCTACAGCTAAACAGAGCCCAACTGAGAAAAATGTTGTTACCAAGAAGCCTTACTTGTTGGCTCTGTTTTTTTTTTTTTTTTTTTTTTTTTTTTTTTTATAGTTAGTTACTTTGTTTATTTCTAAAACCCATTATTAGGTTTTTGTTAAGTTTGAAGTGAAAGTTCTCATCCCCATGTTGGGTAACTTTAGTTTCGAGCAGGTTTTCCTGCTGGCCTGGTCCCGGTGGTGGGCGTGGGGGGAGTCCTACACATTATGGGGAGGGGCTGCATCTCCTTTTCCATATCTGCTCCCCGTGACTTTTTAACTGATCCTCCACCCATTTTCTGAGATGTGTGTCCTAGCTGTCCGTGTCCCACAATGATACCGCCTTAAAATGTGTCACTGGAAATTTTTGTGGGGTGGTCATTTAACGTGCTCAAATTCGCCACTGTTCTTAAGTTTAAATCATGACAAACATCCTTTGGATATGGAAAGTCGGTTCCTTTAAAATGAAATGGGGTAAGGTGTCAAGCCAGAGGGCTTCAGGCTCAAGTAGACTTTCTGTTTGTTTGTTGGTTTTTGTCGTTTTTTTTTTCTTTTTTTCAGAAAGCCAAGGACTTGAGTGAACAACGCAAAGCGTTTATTGGTGGTGAAAGAAGTGAAGTGAGGAAGGAAATCTTCAAGGCGCAGGACAGAGTTATCATGGAAAGGGTAAGTCGCATGTCTGTAATGCTTGCTGTGTGCCTCGGGGTGGCTTCCTGTGGGCAGAGATGGAATAGTGATTCTCCAACTCTCCATTTTCACACAGCAAGAGCAAGATGTGTCTGTTGTTGAAACGTACCTTCAATCCCTGGTCCTTGACTGCCCCGAAGAAACCATCTGAAGCTCACGCAAAGATGCACAGGGAGCATTGGCCTTGCTGACAGGATATTCCTAGTGGTCGATGCAGCTCCTTTCTCTTTACTTTGCTTGTTAGAAATAAGACTAGGGCTCTGTTCACCATGAACTGAACCCCCAACAGTTCTGTGAGTAGCAACAGTTAAGTGTGGATCCTTGGCCCCTGACAGCAAGGGAGGTACATTCTCCCACCAGTGGCAGTTACATTTTGGAAGCAAATAATGTCATTTGGTTTTACGATTGGCTTCTTTGGTTCCCCTTCACTTCCGCAAAGTCAGTGTTACTTTACTCATTTCGGGAAGAAATAAATAACGACGGGATCCATTAATCTGTGCATGCTTTTATTATTCATGATGTCACAGAGCCAAGGCCTTTGCAAATGGGCCTTTACTGGAAATCCAACCCAACATGTTCCCTCAGACTTAACTGCACACGACTCTGGTTTTCGCACTCAGATGTGCTAAACGGTTTACACGATTCCCACTGCAGAGCCAGATCTGAAAGCCTTGGGTTTGAGCTATGCGGTGGGGCTGTGGCATTTCCCAAAGACAGCCAGACTCGTTTCCAGGCTGTATTCAGCACTGGTGGAAAGGTACCTGCCCTTACCTTTGGTCAAAAACATTTATCAGTGAACATCTGTATAATAATAAGCATTTGCAGTTTCAGTATTTTACAATGGCTGTTGTTTTCCCGGAGCATTTTCTAGTATTCAGAGTTTAATTTTCATCAAGTAATTCTGCACGTATGTGTATGTTTGTCTAACTCCTGAGTCATTCTTTCGCTTTTTTCCTGTGATGTATTTTTTGTTTTCATGAATCCTTAGAATCTGTGTTCAGATTTGATGTTCATTTTCATGGGTGTGTACTTGATGAGTCTTTGTGAGCTTACTCCAAGTGTGTGTTGGTAGCCATGAAGGCTGGGAGAGGGGCTCAGTTCCAGTCTCCAGGTCCCATAACACCAGAACTCACTCCCAAGGTCTGTCCTCTGACCGATGTGTGCCCCCACCCTAGTGTGGTGATACAGTATTTGTGATTTATTAAAGCTTGGCTGAGGGTACAGAAAGCAAAGCCAGCCACAAGCCATAGAGCCAGGAAATGGTGCTATACACCTTTGATCTTGGCACTACGGATGTTGCAGGAGCATTTTATTCTCTAGCCAAGCTGAGGAGAGGCCAACCCTTGGGGTCTGAGGTAGAGATGAGAGCTAGTGGCAAGCTGCTTTCCTTTTCTGAGCTTCAGCTTGAAACTTGGACCCCAGTATCTGTCCCCGGGATTTTATCATTCACTCTGACCCATGTGAGCATATATACAGAAACACACACACACAGACACACACACACACACATACACACACACACACACACACACACACACACACAGGAGTGGGGCTTGGGTTACAGGTGGTTGTGAGCCACCCAATGTGGGTGTTGGCTATGTGAACTGGAGTCTTCTGGAACAACAGCAGGTGCTCTCAAGCGTTGAGCCATCTGTCCAGCCCTGTTTAGCACATGTGAGATTGCTTCACCTTTTACCTGGAGTTTGTGAGCTAAACCTACCCTTTGTGTAGACACAGAAATACATGCCGCATCACACAAGTACCTTGAAGGCCAAGCTGCGCCTGAATGGCACAATCACAGCAGCTGGGCCCACTGTTGGAATAGACCAATCTCAGTGTCTCACAAAGGAACCGACGAGCAAGCTGAAAGTAATTTGGCAAGCAATTTCTTTGTGTAAAAACGGAAGGGCGCAGCAGGCCAGAGAGTAGCAGGATATACGGCCTACGTGGCTGCTTTTATTCCTCACACAGGGAGGATCTGGGCTGCTCCTCATTAGCTGAGGTTTAGCTTTCCAGTCTGGGCCTAACTGAGAGAAGAGAAAGGAAAAAAAAAAGTGGAGAGCAGAGGGGAATGCAGAATTGACGAGGATTGGGTGATTAAGCTTTTCAGGGTTCCCAGGAAGCTTTCCTGAAAGCATGCTTATCTAACACAGGAATAAAAAACAAAGGGGACTCTGTGGAAGGAGGGGTCAGGAGGAAGCAGACAGGCAGCCATTAAATCTGATTGTCCGAAGGGAAAAGAGGGGAGTTCTCATACCACCCATGCTAGGCCTGATGGACCAGACAAGGGCCTACAGGGCCCACCATGCACACACACAAATGACAGGTCTGGGGCAAACACTTTTGCATGCTTTGCTGTGGGAGTTTCTGGAAAACAAAGTCACCCACCGAGCCCTTTTCAGTAGGGGAGAGGAAGGTTTATTTCACGCCCCCACCCACCCCGCCCCGTGGGTGGACAGCACCCCAGCATCAATCCCTAGTGGCACTGGCCCTCTTTCAGTCGCCTCTCATTTGGTGGGAGACCAGAGGCAAGCAAGCAGGAGATACAAGTATAGAAGCAGGCGGGTGACAGTAAAGGCAGGTTGCTGGGTTAAAATTCAGTCCAGTTACTCCACCTCCTCTGGGACCCGGGCTTTTGAGGGGTGGGGTTCGGTTCACAGGAGCTATGGCAGCCCTGTGGAATTCCGCTGTTTTTCACACCTGGTGGTTGGGGGAGGGTTTCCCGCCAGAGCTTCACCTGTGTGCTGGATTGTAGATGTGCCCCATAGTCTCAGGCATTTGAATACGTGGTCCTCCCTGGTTGTAGAAAAGCATGTCTCCCAAGACTGTCTCGCTGTCATTGCCCCACGGCTATGGGCCAGTCACCTCTGTGTGTTCCGGCTATGGCAGGCGGTTTCCCAAGATAGACGGCCTTGTTTGGGAAAACAATCCCAGGGAGAGGGGACCAGCAATTTCTCAAGAATATCTTAATCCGCGCGTGCCTCCCGAGAGCTGCATCAACTGCCGCTTCTCCAAGCCCCTTGCCCACTGCTGTAAGAGTCCCGACCAGCTGGCTCCCTCGCCCTGGTGGGCAACTTCCATCCAAGAAAGCTGCAGCTCCTCTCTGTGCTGATAAATGCAGGCGTAACTGCTGAGGTCGGAATTTGGTCTCCTTCCTGCCTTTTGTCTCTTTCCACTCTGAAATTGAACAGTGGCTGTTTGAAGAGGCTAAGGAGATGGGGCCTGGCTGAACGGAGGTAGTATGTGGTTAGGGGTGTGTAAGGAGTAAGGTTTTTTTCTCCCGCCGCCTGGTCCTGTCCTGTCGCCGCGCCAGTCCCAATTAACACACAGAGACTCTGTATTTGATATAATTCTGTTGGCCCGTTATTAGTTTTTTTTATCGGCTACTTTTGTCTTACTTATTAACCTATTTCTGTTGATCTATGTATTTCCACGTGGTCTCATCTTACCGAGAGCCGGAGTTCTGCTCCCTCCAGGCCCTCCATCTTCTCCTCCTTCCTCCTTTCTCTTTCCTCCTAGTCTCCTAGTCCCCCCCCCCATCTTGCTTTCCTATTGGCCATCAGTGCTTTATTCATTAACCAGTATGAGAAACATATTTACAGAATGACATCTCCCATCATCTCGTCTTTTCTGTCTAACTAAAAAGAGGGGTTTTAACCTTAACATAGCAAAATATATAACACAACAGTTATCACGTAAGACTCACAGTTAACAGTATTTAGTCCAATAACATTTAGTAAGATTAAAAGAAACTATTTTATCATCTAACCTATATTTGTGAATCTAAAGTCCTATATGTAACGTTTCTTTAAGCGTAACTGAGGAAAACTATAACCATAACTATTTGTCTTTAATTTCTTCACAGACCACAGAACTCTAGAAATACATAAACTCTAGAAATGACAGAGACATCTTGCCTGTCTGTCACCTGAAGTTCTTTTGTAATCTTCCATCTTTAGCCCATAGGCCATAGTGTGTCTGAAAGATTTTTCAGTAAAGCAGGAAACTTCAAACTGTCCACTTGTATTGGCAGTTTGTCAGTCACTTTTCTCTGTGTCCTGCAGACTGTCTGGCAGACCCTTTCATGAAGCAGGAACTCTGTAGCACTGTCCACCTTGAATCAGCAGTCACTTTTCTGTGGGTCCTGCATGTCCAGTTTATACAGCATAACATCAAACAGTCCAGGCAAGAGCAGTATCGTGTCCATATGGCTAGCCTTGCCACACTGGAGGTAAACTCCATATGTGTTTTTTCGATGTCCATCTTCCTTTCTGACTCAGGTGGTGCTGCCAGGAGCAGTTATGTCTCACTGTCAAGAAAAACCCTAAACCATTTTAAATGCCATATTGTGTAGGTCTTTGAAAGGTTTGAAGAAGAACGCCTCTCTGTCTCAGATACATCTCTGTGTATCTTGGAAAAACTTAACTAACTTAACTCTAAGCTGAGACTATCATAGGCAATTGTCTATAATCTGTACTACATTATATATTACATTTCTAAATGAGCTACAAAAACACAGTACCTAAACAAAAGGAGAAATATACATATCGCCAAATTGACCTTAAGTTCTATCAATAAGTGCAAATCCATTCCAAAACAAAGTAGTAATCAATAAATAAAACATGGGTGGCTCTAATTGGAGTCTCTGTCTCTTGCCTTCCCGTTTGCAGTTTGAGATGGGGACCCTGAGCTCCAGCTTCCAGCTGCGCTTGCCAGGTCTGCCACCTGCTTTCCCTGCTGTTATGGCGCCTTAACGCCCTGGAACCACAATCCCCGAATAAAACTCTTTCTTCTGTGTTGTTGCCTTGGCTGTGGTGTTGTATAAGAGCAACAGAATCCCTGACTAAGATAGTCTGATACGAGACCCGAAGGGTTTGCCTCCCGCATGGGTGCTCTTTCGGCAAACCTTAGTGTCTACTCAGGAAGGTGGCCTTTAAGGGGACACGAGCCTTGACACTCTTAAAGTAGAAGTGTCTTAAAGTAGGGTGCCCTGTTGCATCAGGGCGGTGGAGGTGTGTGTGTGACTGACTGACTGTTAAGGGACTCCATGGCGAGGCTCTGGCGGTGGCAATCACACATTGCCTTTTCACAGAGCCCTAGGGGCGGAGGGCGTGTATGGAGAGACGAGTCTAATGGCTTATCCATCAGGCATGCATTCTCACGTGCAGCGGCCACCTCGCTCACGTGTTCATGCGCGGCCTGAGGCA